AAAATAGAAAAGAGGTGTTCAGTACATATAAGCTATGATTGCATATGAGTCCACATATGTAACATGTACGTAACTGCTTTTTCCTTGGAGAAGGTGAAACACGGCACGATTCTACTATTCATGCTTTATGTCGAGTTTTGACGGAAAATTAAACATAAAGGTGATAATATAAGACAAAAATACAAACTTGTTTCTCAATTCATCTAGCTATAGTCATAAAAAATGACCATTCTTTAATTAAGTGAACATATAACTCATTGTCATTTGTTTTCAATTTTCTTGTGAAAAACGACACGCGGAAAAATGGTGAACCAGCCAAATGATCATTGCTTCCAAAATAATTTTTTTGTCATTTTCTATTCGTCTAAAGTATCATTTTTCATGAACGAATCGATTCATGTTCAAATAGGATCGACCCCTTTCAATTTTACTCAAATTAAAAACACAACGTATGAAAAAATCGAGAAAAATTATGGATTCGGATGTTTCATGTTGACAAGTGATGCACATCAAAAGGAAAATACTTGAAGTTCCAAATTCATTTATGATTTTAAAGGACAGGAGAGTATCATGAGGAAAGTCCTTGGTTTTTTGAAAATGTTGCATTCTAATGTGAATATCTTGGCATATTAATCACGGACTGAAACTGTGAAAATCGTCACGTTGGAGACGGGCCCTAATTTCAATTTGAAATTCCACCTTATGTTCCGTGGAGTTTACTTCAATGCTTTGGGTAACGTGTGTATAAATGTATATAGATACCTACTACATGTCTATTTGAAAAAATCATTTTAATGCTTTTTTGAATTTTTAACAAAATTTGTTTCACACTTAAGCTGTTTTCAGTGCGCAATCTGTGTCCATGACGACCGTATCATTTATTAGGGCAGAAATGTCAGTTTGACCCATTTTAGCTATAGTGTCCCTTGTAAATCATGACCTCGGAGTCACATTTTTTTTATCAACAATGGCCATAATACCGGAAATTTTACTTCTAAGTCATGGTTCTACCTCGTTGTTTTACCGGTTTTTACATCAACATTTTGTAGGGCCTTGCATTAGTATAGTAGAGCCGGGCAAAGGCAAAATGGATCTAGTATTCTCTAGAAATTAAAGGGAGATGGTTCACATTTCGGAGAATATAATTACAACAATATACCTGCATTAAAGGGAAGTGCTTGCGATCGTTTTATTTGATGCTTCATTCTTGCAGATTCTGTCAATATGCGTTTTGATATATAACAATTTAATGCATACGATATCTTTCCAGTAATTCGTGTTCGCCAAAAATCTCTGGCGGATCTCTAAAGACACGTTTACGTCTCACGTTTCTCCAATTGCTCCCAGAGAGTACTTATTATTGATATTCAAAATGGCGATAATTATAAAAGGTTGTCGTGTATGTTCGTAATTAACCTTATGTCACTGAATTTTCTCGTTTTATGCATTTTACGAAGCAAATGTTCTCACCGGTCTTTTCTAGGTACATTAGTGCATTTTTTGTTCAAAACTTAAAATATAGACAATAAATGTGATGAAGGAGTGATTCCTAATTGAAAAATAACATGTGACTTTATTGAGGATTGCAGCAACATACAAACTAACCTTAAAGTTGCGTTGTTCCGCAACCTTAAAAATCTTAAAAACATACTCTGAACAGGTTGCTTTTACAGCCATATTTCAACGTCTATATCACATTCAATTTTAATTTTTTTATTTGGAAACTGAACCTGATAAAAGGACAATACCAGGTTTACACATGTACGTATTACCATCACTGAAAGGTAATGTTAAGTGATTTTTCAAGAGGATTCATTACACTGAATTTTCAGATAGTGACTTGCGGTAAGTACAGAGGTATCGCACGATAATGACGTAATTCTCGCGGTACCGCAAGATATCTGCGATGATGCTGACTTTGCGGTCCCTTTGTGAATTGGAAATAGCGGTACCGCAGTGAGTTGCGGAATTGCGCAGGCTTGCGGAGCTTTCATGAATTAGGCTTTAGATCCGGACCCAAATCCAGAGCCTATGGAAAGGGTTCAGGCATGCAGCGTTTTAGTGGATTTTGATTGAACGAGAAACGCAAAATGCAAGTCATGCAGGCCCGTGCACCGTGCAGATGTTCACGAAGTTAACCCTGTGTTACTCGAGTCTCTAGCCAATTCTTGGCTAGAAGTGATTCTATCTGGAACACCGTGAACTATTGTAAAATCGCTGTCGTTCAAAAAATGTATGTGATATTCTAAAAATCGTTCCATTGATATTTCATGAATTGAAATGGTAACGGCTTACTTCCTGCGAAAGCTATTTGGATTTTGATATAATAGCTTTCCCACGGAGCATTTGGACAGCTCAATGATCGTGACCTTTGAAATCGAATTAAGTCGATCCGCGGCTTACTTTTGGTCTCTAACTGTGTCTTACATCAGTATCATCAATCCGTGTAAGTATTGGAGCGCTGGAGTACTTCTTTTTCGATCAAGACTTGTAATTGTTAGTCGAGTGAATCGTTTTACTGCCAAATTCCAATATGGCGGTTTCTGCTCGGACATTTTCGTAAATCTCCGGAGGTTGTCCGAACTTAACTAATTCTCAAAATTCATTTCGTTGTTGCGTATCTCGCACCTAGCAAACCGCCATATTGGAAATAGGTCTGTAAAACTTTAACTCGATGAACAATTTACAAGTCTTGATCGAAAAAGAAGTACTCCAGCGCTCCAATACTTACATGGATTGATGATACTGATGTAAGACACAGTTAGAGACCAAAAGTAAGCCGCGGATCGACTTAATTCAATTTCAAAGGTCACTATTGATCAGCTGTTCACTTCTATGTTTGAGAGCCATAAGTTTCAAAATCTAACATGGCTCTCGAAGTGAGTAAGTAACGGCTTGTCTCGTTGATGAGATATTGAAACGTTTTCATTTAAAATAGACGTCTCGTTCTCCATTTTGAAAGCATGCCTTTTTTCCGCTATAGCGATTTAGTCAAGAGTTTAACAGTTTATGTAAAAATAGAAACATTTATATTTATCCTAACTTTTGTATATTTCAGATAGTAATGTATAATGTGCAGTAATGCTGTGGGCTTTTGTAATTTAGGGAGTTTCAGCCATGTTAATTTTTCCGAAAATAACATGGCAAAGAAGTATCAAAATATAAGAGGACATAGATATGATAGCTAAACTACAAAACAAACTAAAATATACAAAAGTTAGGATAAATATAAATGTTTCTATTCTTACATAAACTGTTTCAATATGGTCATTTGATTGCTTATTTTTTAAATTCAAAGTAGTCACAAACATTTCTGTTTTGACTGTAGAAAATTGAATTGTCTAACTTTTTTGTACACTAAGTATTTAGTATATAATAAAAAAAATAGAAACATATGTACTTGTCCTAACTTTTGTATATTTCAGATAGTTATGTATAATGTGCAGTAAAGCTGTGGCCTTTTGTATTTTAGGGAGTTTCAGCCATGTTAATTTTTTCGAAAATAACATGGCGGAGAAGCATCAAAATATAAGAGGGCACAGATATGATAGCTAAACTACAAAACAAACTAAAATATACAAAAGTTAGGACATGTATAAATGTTTCTATTTTTACATATACTGCTTCAATATGGTCCTTTGATTGCTTATTTTTTAAATTCAAAGTAGTTACTAACATTTAAAATTTAACTGTAGTCACTGTTTTGTACTGTTGCAATATAGTCATTTGATTGCTTATTTTTTGAATTCAAAGTAGTTCGTAACATTTAAAATTTTACTGTAGATGACAAGACCACGCTGGATTTTGAAATTTTTTGAACCAAGATAACAGAGTTCTGTTTGGACCTCCAGTCAGTTTACTAGTTCCACTGTTCCTCATATCATTTACATGTTCGGGAACACAATGGAAATGGTCAGAATGACCATAAACATGATGAAATAACCTTTTCAGCCCTCTGAAAATGCGACTGAAAAATCGCTAAGAGTAGGTGCTCAGGAAAGGTCACTGAACAGAATCTTTTGACTTTTTCAGAAAATGTGCCCAAAATGATACAATTTTAAAAAATTTGATATCAATCTTAGAAAAAGAAAAAATGAAAAAAAAACTGAATTGAAAATCGATCTATTTTCCTTTTTACTACATCCATTATTGTTTCAGACAATTTTTTAAAATTTCAAAGATTGTATCATTTAGAGCAATATATTGGACACATTTACTGAAAAAATCACAAGATTCTGTTCATTGACCTTTCCTGAGCACCTACTTTTAGCTTCTTTGATTCTAAATATCAGCCCTAATAAACATTCTCTAACTTTTTCAAAGCCATAAAAATTGCGGCAGTCTCAAATTGTAGAGGTTTGCAATCTTTAATCGGCCAGTATTTCAAAATCAATTTTGGGAATTATTTCAAAATACATTATGAGCAGCCATTGCATCCGGTATCTTCATAATTATTAGTCATCATGGATTTGCTGAAGTGAGGATTTCTAGTGTTAACAATAAGAGAAATTTCAAAAGACCATATATCATTCAGTAGATGAGATTATACAAAATAGAAAATCGACTACTCATTAATTGCCCAAACTGTACTCGTGTAATAACCTGATGTTCTTCAATATTCCTGATATGTACTCCAAATCTTGCTGCTTTCAACAGTGCTCTCTTCAGGATATTTTTTTGTTTTTGTGAACTCAATGAATTATTTACCAAGTTAATATAAGTGGGAACAGAATACCATGGTGACTGACAGACTGAAACATCATTCAGCCAGTACTGAACTAATATACATGTATTTTCATTTTTCATGGAGGCCTTATCCTATATATTTTAAGACATCTTACAAAAAACAAGATCATATTTCATAGGGTGTCTTGAAAATGGTAGTGCAAACTCAGCATCTCAAACTCAGACATCTTGGAAAGCTGTGTGGAGTATAAATTATGCCAGAATTAGAAAAATGTCTACCATATTTTCAATAATTTTTTACAATTTTGTTTCAGGCATCACAGTCACAACATTCTTCGCACTGGCCGTGGTAGGTCAGGCGTTGACCCCATCATCATATTTCACAACAGTAGACCAAGCCAGACTTAGGCGTGTGTTTGAAAGTGCTCAACCATTTAATGATCTGGCAACAGCTCACTATTCTATCCTAGGATTAAAGTTGTTGGGAGTCCCTGTTCCTAAAGCATCAGTGAGTATATTCAAACATTATATGTTGCAATTTGTCACTAAACATCTTTTTCATAATTTAAAGATTTACTCTGAACACTAGGCCTGCCATAGAACTTAAATCTCAGTGTCGACAGAAGTTCAGCGTCGTTAAACTCAATAACGGAGCTCTTTACTATTTTAGGAATTTTCTTGGCCGTTATTGGGTTTAACGTCCTTACTGTTCTTTCCTTTATTGCAAGTTCTGGATCCATCAAAACCATTCTTCCGCGATAACATGCAACTGATACTTGACAATAATATAAAAACACAACATCAAGCGATTTAACATTTAACAATGTTCATTTATACTAGTAAAATGAGGCTACATTTACCAATCTCTAAAATGACATTACCGCATGTCCGTCATTGTATCTGTTCGTCCCGGTGTCCCTGGCTAAAATTAAACTATTAGTGAAACTTCGTTTATCCTTATATCATATATCCATATTCGCGTGCACACTTTGGAAGGCAATTAAAAAATCGCTAATTGTCCCCCGGAAGTTGATATAAATTTTAGTTGATATTCCGACTAATGATGGCAGGCCTACTGTACACCAATTGAATTAATCATTGTACTGATATCTTCTCCAGGCTGGCACATTTGAAAGTAATTTATTTTTATTTTATCCAGAGCATTTCGTCTTTTAATTTATAATAATTTTACCAATTTTTTTCTTGCAGGAGACATGCAGCTTCCTGAAGAAGAGAGCTGATGTAAAAAGTGTAGAGTCAATATTCTTTGCATCATCTGCTAGTTCTAACCTTGGTAGCTGTGACTTGGGCTTTAAGTCTGTTGATGGCTTGTTGAATGATGCCATCAAGGATAACGCAGCAGTAGTCACCATTTACCAAGCTGTTTTATCACTAAAAAATTTGGGATTAACAAGTAAGTGTTAACATTTCGTCCTTAATAGCATCTTATTGTTGGCAATTGATAAATGTGATTAGTTTCTGCACTTTCCCTGCATTCTAGCAATACTGAATCGTATGTCAGTATTGTTGCAGGGAGGGTGCTATAACAAAGCCTCCTGCTCCACCCAGCCATGATTAACCATACGTGGGCTGATTCTAAGATGGAAGGACAATGAATAAAACATTTAAATAGAAATATAGTTAAGGGTCATTAAATTATTTTGTTTTGCCATGAACTTTTACTATTTCTTACAAATAATAGTACTTTTGTATTTTCAGTTGATTCCAAGAAAGTTAGCTCTGCATTGAATGCAGCTTTAAAAAATGATGATTCTCCAACTAGGTAAATAAGCATGTTTAGAAACCATAGCATAATTGACTATTTTTTTTGTAACATAAAATCTTATTTGTACCTTCTATGCCTTCTAGCAATATCGAGTCATATGTCAGTATTGTTGCAGAGAGGGTGCTGTAGAAATGTCTCTTAAGCAACCCAGTCATGTTAAACAGGACACAGACTGACTCATAAGATAAAAGAATAGTCACATATATCACATCACATATCATATATATGATATTTTTAGAGATTCATATTTGTAAATTACGCTAAAGGTACTATGAAAAAAGTTATGAAGGATCGTAAAATTTCATTAGTCTTTTTTTATTATTCCAGTGGAGGGTACTCATTCTTCACTGCCTCATTTCTGAGTGGAGATGTCAACACATTTTTTGAGAATATAGAAGATATTGTTGCTCAAGCAGAGGAGATAGATGAAAAATACCTGCAAGTAAGAACTGTTTACTTGATTGGCGGTTTGTGGTTGGCGTTTAACAAATTCTTACAACTTCCAATAACAACAGCTACTGTTTGGACTGACTTCAATTTTTTACAAAATCATCTACAAGTTTTCAGAAATTCAAATCTGATTTTAGATTTGACCAAATATTTTTTTCAAAATCATTGACAAGTTCTGAAAAGTTCAAATCTGACTTGAGATTTAAGATTTGACCAAATATTTTTTTCAAAATCATCGACAGGTTCTGAAAAGTTCAAATCTGACTATAGATTTGAGATTTGACCTTCAATGATCTTCTCGAGATCATTTTTTTTCAAAATCATCTACAAGTTTTCAGAAATTCAAATCTGACTTTAGATTTGAGATTTGACCTTCTCAATCGGTTGCCTGGGCTCACTTCTGAAAGTTGGTTGTTCTGTTGGTTGTCCACTTGATTTTGTTGATATATTCAGATATCATTGAACTATGTTGCCCACGCACGATATATGAACAAAATTTCATACTCCAGAGTTCCCATGTCATAGAAGCCTGATTTGGTTTAAATGTCAATTATCGTCTGCCATCTTACATTCGATGGTTACAGTCGCTACCTTTGCTTGATACTGACCAGTGATATTGGTGAAAGTGCTCATGATTTGGTCTCAAAATATATATCTAAGGTATGTAAGATGTTATATCACAGATACTAAAATTCTGTGATTCTGTGTCGCTGCTGAAAAACTGCCAAATTTTGGTTATCAAAATATTTGCAGAATTTGATTTTTTCACACACAGTTTTGTGGTCAACCACCTCAGTTCATATTTGTCACTCACGTTGTCACCTTAGACAGTTATTTATCATCAGAAACTGGTGTATGAGGATTTCAAAGGGGAAATGTGGAATCTGTTTAAAATTATCCAACTTCCAGCTTTTGCACTTAAGATAAAGTTTAATATGTCATGAAGTTTGAGTTCCCTGCAATTTCTCGATAGTTCAGATGAAGCTGTTGCTTGGATAATTTATCGCGGAATTCAAGATTTCATGCAGAATTTGCATTCAACCTTTTCATGTAGAATTTGCTTTTTTCATCCAGAAAACTAGGATGTGTGTTGTATGAAAATTATATTAGGACATTACTGATTGAAGACCAGATCTCTTTAACAATAATTTAAAAGAATATCATTATTCTCATTTCAGTTTGAAGGAGGACTTTTTACCACAGCCTTAGTAATAGATGGCGCTTATAAACTTGCCGCTAAGGCCAAGAAACAACCCACATTGTCACCAGTAAGTTATCAAGTCTTATTCCCCCTTGTTGCTGGTGTGTTTAGTTATTGTAAATGATTGTAAATGATTCACAATTTTATGCATCCCTTTATGTCCAATGATGATAACATCTATAGTTGATGATAATGAAAAACAAAACTTACACTCTAATTTTTTACTGAGGATATCATTCTTGATGCATAATGTCAAAATAGTTTTTTATATCGATGTGAAAATGTGATAACATTTGATCTGGAGGTAAACGCCCTTCATGTGACAAATACTCACATTCCAAAAACTATTTGATTCAAAATATCATGTCTGCATTCTCTTCTCCCTGTTTTGCTTTACTTCATTAAATTATTTGTAGGATAAAGTTTTGAAGTTTACCAACTACTTCCTGAGCCGTAAGCATGTTCACCAGATTAAGAGTGCCTCTATGTTGCTGTCAGTATTGAACACATTGACATCCAATGACTATCACATCCCAGTAGCGGTCACCCTAGCCAGCCAGGTCTCTGTGTCAGACAAAAACCCAACAGTACAGGTAAATATATGGGTAATTTAGGAATTTGGAACCTAAAACTTCTTAAGTTAAGGAATTACAATATTCACTCATTGCACCCAGTTGAGAATATAGAAAAGTATGAATTTAAACAACACTCATTTATCTGGTTAGTTTTCGCAGAATTCGAAGTTAATTTAAATTCAGAAATAATTCAATACAGAACTATGTGTAACTTAATAATAGTTGTATTTAGAAGTGCTATGATGAATTTAGGCTAGAGTTTCCGACTTAACTTCACCTTGCATCTCCTGACTTTAGGGTTACACTCTGTTGTTGGGTGTGTGAGTTTGAATGCGAGACTGACGCTAACTTTCCTGCTGAGCACTTAAAACTGAAAGAATGTTTTGCATCTTAGCCAGGGCTGCACAAAACAGAATAAGAATTATATCCAAACTGTCTTGTTTTACCTTCGGAAAACCTAAGAAATGCCTTAAACTTAACATTGCCTGATTTTGGTATTGTTGTAAATCTGGGGGTTTTCTTTGTAATTCAGGTACGTGTAACCAATCTGATGGGCAAGAGTCTTGGTAAACTGACAGTCACTGCAGACTCTGCCAAGAATGTTGGAGACAATAATGCAGTTGTACTTAGCAAGAAACCATTCACTGCATCAAAATCTGATGAGTAAGTATATATCTTGTCCTGGATGTTATTGTCTTTCATAAAATGCCAAACATGTATTTTATGGAAAATAAAAATAGCTTTCAAAGTATCAGAAATCAAGCTGCAATGATGAATTTAGGCTAGAGTTTCCGACTTAACTTCACCTTGCATCTCCTGACTTTAGGGTTACACTCTGTTGTTGGGTGTGTGAGCTTGAATGCGAGACTGACGCTAACTTTCCTACTGAGCACTGCTGAGGAAGTGGTTCTAAGTTAACATCCATTGGTACTCCCAAGTTATTTGACTCATGATCATTTTTTTTCAGCTCTCTCTACGAGTTGAACTTCATGCAAGCCAAAGTGACCAAGGGCTTCTACCAGTTGACAATCAGTGTAGCACCCACTAAGAAAGATGCCAGATTCATTGGAATCACTGGTGCAGAGGTAAAACATACTGCTTTTTAAGGGGATCACTTTATTCTGTCAGTTTAAGAAGTGATTAATTGGTGTTCTTTAAAATCATAAGAAATTCTATGCACATATAACACTGCACTCTACATTCTTCTAACTTTAAATAACTTCACAGTGTTCCTAAGAAATGTATTTTAAATCAGTGTAGTTATTTTCTCCAGATTGGCATCAAAGTGACCACCCAGGTTGCCATAGAGAATGTAGACATAGGGATTGCAGACAAAGACCAAAGTTCTGCAGCTAAAACTATCAAGTAAGACACACTTAAATACCATGGGTTCTTAATTATTAAAACTGTTATCCGGATTGAGTCATATCCACATTCATTTTATGCATATCCATAATGCCTATTTGACCTATCATCGCCATTTCCCAAGTTCGCCCGGTTTCCGAGAAATTGCTGATTTTGATGTTTACTTTATAAAATATCTTGCAATGAATTACATCATTACTAGATTTAGGCATTCCCTACATATTGCTTAATATATGTCAGCATCAAATTTTTACTGTTTTTGAGATATTTGACGTCAAAAAACAGTAAAAATAAGTTTTTTTTTCAACTTGCTTCAATTTGACCCAATTTTTTTTGAAAATCATCTTCAAGTTGCCAGGAGTTCAAATCTGAAATAAGTTTTAGGATTTGACCTTTACTTGAGTGTGCGATTTTGTTTAAATTTTGTATGTGCCTAATACTTAGAAGCATATTTCACTTTCTTTTGACAATTTGGCTAGTGAGCGATTGACCATTTTGAAAATCGTGGCCTTATGTGTTTTGTATGCCTTTTGCTATAACTGAAAAAGTAGTAGAAGGATTTTGCGAAAATGGCAGCCATGACTGTTTGATGGGATTTGCTAGGCTTTGGCGTTGTTGTTATCTAGTTTCCTCTCAAGTCAACAGCACATTGTATGTATAAGATATTTAACTTGTGCACTTTCTCTGCATTCTAGCAATACAGAATCGTATGTCTGTATTGTTGCAGGGAGGGTGCTATAACAAAGCCTCCTGCTCCACCCAGCCATGTTTAACCATACATGGGCTGATTCTAAGATGGAAGGACAATTCTCGACTAAAAATCATATTTATGTCAGACTATGAATCGTGGCTTTGCTACAGCTACCCTAAAATGTATTACATTAAGTGTCCCCAGTGTTGTTTCTTGCCATGTGTTTACTACTACACTCATTTTTATAACTAAATTGACATTTTTAACCTATGAAATCTCTTACCACATGCTTTAGTTCACTATGCAAATGAAGTTTTTCATTGTTTTTATTGATACGACTCAAATACCATTTGACAGATTTAGTTTAAATTTGATATTAGAAATCTGCTCAAGAATGAATTTTAAAATGACTGCCGAATTCAAATTTAGTTCATAAAAATGTATTTTTTGATAACTCGAATACCAATTGTCAGATTTGGTTCAGAATTTATGTGCCAATGCCTTATTAGCATAGGACTCTGGTGAAGAATAAATGCTGGATTCAAAATAGCCATAATTTCTCAGGAAACTTATGATTTTTTGTGATAAAACAAAATACTAGTTACTGTTAATCAACTTAATTTAAACTTCATTTGGCAAATTGGGCAAAATCAAAAAATTTGCAGAGATCTGATTTGGCGAATTCAGCAAGAATAAATACCTGTGAAATTCACCAAACTAAATCTGTTGCTAAATTAAGTTGACTATAAACAGTACCAGATTTGGTCCAAATTTTATATGCTAATGCCTTAATGTCATTAGACCTGCTTGAGATTTTATAAATGGTGTCACCTCCCTTCATGGGTGTAGATTTTGCTAAAAGGAGACCATTTTCACTACTTCCTAGTTATTTCTACCATGTGATGTCCAAAATGACTAGGAATTTAATGAAATATGATTTGTTTGGTGGGATTATATATCTTTTATTGACTCTTTAGATGTCATATCATGACATATTAGTCACTAAGGTAGAGCAGTTCTTCCCATTGTCGAGTTGAAGAACTGGTATCTTTATCCTGGCTAGAACCATAGACAATTCTAGCCAGCGCCAGCCTTTTATCGAGTTAGCAGCACTCTAGTAATCGCCGGTATAGGTCAGCAGTCATAGGTCAAAGACAAATCACATTTGCTACTTGGCAGAGTTTCAGTTTTCTAGTTATACTTTGCTTCGATAAGACAGATAGGGCTATAAGAATTAGATTCTCTGTTTTGCGTCCTGGCAAAATCCAAATCATGCAAGGGTACAAGGAACACAAACACAAGCTCAAGAAAAAACACAAACTTGTTTGCTGAGAAATGTATACATTTTATGGGCATTAAAAGGGATGACATACCAATTTGTAGTGATACAAACACAGATCTATAGATTTATACAATATATTTAAATATAGGTGTTATTCAAGGGTAAAAATATGAAAATACACAATGTATGCCAAAGTAATCAATAACACTGTCAATTTTGACGCACATCAATTTATCCGCCATTTCGTCTGATTCTGATTGAACAAAATGCGATGTTACTTTCAGACCCTTGTGGTTGCTATTTGGACGTGTTTGTTTTCTCTGATTTACTCAAAATCGTGCAAGCAAGGGGACGCAAAACAAAGAATCTAATTCTAACGGCCTAGACTGTATAACCAGGACATGTTTGGTCTATCTGTTAGTCTGTCTGTTCATGGTTACATAGCCAAATGTTCATTGCCTCATTTCTCTCAAGTCAACAGCACATTGTATTTATAATATATTTAACTTGTGCACTTTCTCTGCATTCTAGCAATACTGAATTGTATGTCAGTATTGTTGCAGGGAGGGTGCTATAACAAAGCCTCCTGCTCCACCCAGCCATGTTTAACCATACATGGGCTGATTCTAAGATGGAAGAACAATGTGCCTACTTAAAAGCATATTACACTTTCTTATTTTGATTTCCAATTGTCAACAGTTGAAGTTGAAGTTAACTTGTCTCCTACTTCAATCAATTTTGCTAATGGAATCATATACGTCATCTTCCTTTTTATCCCATACAACGAAGTTCAGAAGGATATAGGGAACAGCTCCGTCCATATGTATGTACATACATACTTTTGTTATAACTGAAAAAGAAGTGGAAGGATTTTGTAAAAATATCAACCATGGCTGTTTGATGGGATTTGCTGCTACGCTTTGGCATTGCTGACATTATCTAGTTATATTTCATTTTCACAACTGTCGATAAATGGACACCATCCCATCAACATCCCATACTTATGCCAAAAATCAACAATATCCCTAAGATAAAACCCCATGGCCCATGGTCTATGTAAAATTCCCGTTTCCAGATTGCAACACCCTAACAAAGCAGCTAATGTGATGGAAGTGGATCATCACCAGAAGATCATCATGAAATTCCAGCTGAAGGATAAATCCACCAGCAAAGCTATGACTGCTCATCAAGTATGTCAACTCACACACCACTTGATACCATACTATGTACCAAACTGATTTGTGTCCAATGATGATATCTCATATAAATGATTGAATGATGATATTGAAAACTTACACTCTAATTTTTTACTGAGGACACGTTATAAATTTGTAAGTAATTGAAGTATGAGTAAAAGTATGAAATATAGGGAAGAACAGGTATGTTCAATTCCATAATCTGATTCCACTGATGTATAGACAGATAGATAGATGCATATCTTAATTTCAGACCTTTGTCAGATTGACCAACCAGAAGACAAAGCAGGAGATCATATTTGTGGCAGAGGCTGATTCATCAGATAACTATAAGTTTGACTTAGATGTTGGAGCCAGTGCTAAGGACTTTGGTCGGATCTCAGGCAAATACTCCATGGAACTCATAGTAGGGGATGCTGTTATCGAGAACCCCTTCTCTTGGCTTGTGGTAAGATATAAATGTTCATTGGAATGAATAATTAAGCAGATCACACACATTTATGTGTTAAATATAAGCTAGATGATGATTAACTTACTGTTTCAACTGACAAGTGAGGACAACTCACTCGCCGAACTGATAGCTTGTAAACAGCAAAAATGAACTGAAGAATTGGAATGCCATACTTCACCCTATGCAGACAGAGCCTGTGGGAAATATTGGGTGGGGAGCAAATGAGCGGAGGGTGCGGAGCTAACGGTCATTTTTGAATTTAAATTTGGGATATTTCTGGAACTAAGCCGTTTTGGGACGTCAAATATACCAAGATATGTGTATTTGACACCAAATATCAATACAATTGTGAAAATAGTAGCGCAATTCATTCTATAGCGACGCAGTGTGCCTTAAACCTTTCCCAGACCTATATATTTTGAAATTATCCTTTTAATACTGAGTCCCCAGCATTCATAAAAAATGGTGTTCAAGGTACACTATCTATACAAATTATTTTTGCATCTTGGAAGCCAGGCAGTATCAGTGTGATTTTATAAAAATTCGAAAATGTTTTTCAGATATGAGCCCCCTCTAAATATTGGGTGCGGAGCAGCTCCATAAACGTAGCTCCGCACCCAATATTTAGAGGGGGCTCATATCTGAAGAACATTTCCGAATTTTTATAAAATCACACAGATACTGCCTGGCTTCCAAGATGCAAAAATAATTTGCATGGGTAGTGTATCTTGAACACCATTTTTTATGAATGCTGGGGACGCAGTATTAAAAGGATAGTCTCAAAATATATAGGACTGGGAAATGTTAAAGGCATACTGCGTCGCTATAAAATGAATTGCACTACTATTTTCACAATTTTATTGATATTTGGTGTCAAATACACATATCTTGGTATATTTGAAGTCCCAAAACGGCTTAGTTTCAGCAATACCCCAATTCTAAATTCAAAAATGACCGTTAGCTCCGCACCCTCCGCTCATTTGCGCCGCACCCAATATTTCCCACAGGCTCTGTCTGCATAGGGTGTACTTGTTTTGCTTATTTCTTGGGAGCTCAGTTATTTATTTATTGATCATTTCAGGCTGATGTAAAACTTGTGTTCCCTGAAGGAAGTGCACCCAAACCTCAGGAAGATGTATACAGCAAGAAACCAGAAATAAAGGTGAGCAAACTTATTTCTAATGCTAAATGTAAAAGCAGTCAGTAGTATATATTTGATTTAATATATTAAGATATATTACATTAAGAATGCTCAAACTTTTTATTATTAATTAAATAGAATTTGGTGTTCATTGTGATGAGATCCATATTAAAAATCTAGAAAAACAAAACTATTACTGAGGATAACCCACTTAGAGGCAGATGAAATAGCAAAAACATAATATGATTTTAAAACTGAATAAATGATAAAAGAAATCAAAAATTACTTGTTAAAATGTTTTTCTGTTACAGCATTTATTCAATGTTCCCGAGAAACGTCCCCCAGCAATTGTGTCAAATGTATTCACAGTCTTGGTCTTTGTTCCCGTCCTGCTGCTTCTAGCCTTGGTGAGTAAATTCTACCATATGTATGATTATTATTTTAGGCTGTGCATATAGCCTCTTTATGTTTTATTTATTTCCTAAATCCCAAATAATACAATAGTTAGGCTGAATCACTTGAAAAACCCTCCCAATAATTCTTTTTATGATAGAAGCACCAAAATCGGTACAAGTGTAGCTGATTGTAATTGAAAAAAAATGGCTCGAGGCAGCAAGTGATCCGGAGCCTCGTTTTGGAAAAAATTCAAAATGGCCGCCAGTCTGTTTGTGATTTTGCCGATTTCTATTAAAATCTCAAGATCCTCTAAAATATTAATGAAAACTGCATAGAAACCTCAAGAAGTGGCTTTGAAATGAATCTTTTTTGATGAACTGACATTTAACTTGAGTTTCAAATGTAAAACGGCGTAAAACAAGGTTCAGTATTATGACCTGTACTATTAAGTTCATCAATGACATATATTGTTATTCATCAAAAATTGTTAACCAAAGACTGAGTACTTACATAATATTGGATAATAAGATCTCTTACTTCTACTGAACAACTTGTATAAGAGAATATATTCAGCCACATATCCAAAATAAGGGGGTTATTGTTACAGTACCAGTTAGATGGTGCTACAATGCGAAAATGTCAATGCTGGGGCAATTTATGTTTGATAAATTGTCACAATTTGTGTTTGATAAATTGTCTATGTTCTACATTTTTGATCACCATCTTTCTCAAATCTCAAATATTTTGTCCTTTATTGTTACTCTCACTAATCAGTGCAAAGTCCACTGCACTTACAAAGGTCTGTGCATTTTGCCCAGCCAGCTTTTTTACATGAACAATACTAAGGACGATACCCCTTGCTGCATTGACACTTTATGAGTTCTCTGCATGCTATTGACGTTTGCTGAAGAGTAGACCAAAAAGTGGAATCACGTGATCACCATCATCCTCCTCCGAGCCAAACTTCAAATAATCCTGGACACCACTTGGGCGAGGATCCAGTATTTGGCCTCAAACAATCCCTCCTAAAAATCTCTCCTAATATGCTGCTCCAAAGCTGCCTTAGTCAGAGGTATCTTGTCAATCTGTCTTCCCTTCTTGGTGAAAAGATATTTTCTGGTTGAGTTAATATCAGTTGTTGAACTTGTCCTGTCATAGAGAACAATGACAAATATCTAAGCACAAGTGCCAAAGGGAAAGGACCAAAAGTTGTAATGGAACTCGGCAAGAAAAAACAAACTCTAAGTGCATACCAGTCAAGAAAAACAAACCTCATATATCCCAAAACCATGATCTAACGTGAAAAGAAACAATGTATAATACCCCCTTTCCCCCCACCATTCAAGAACCGATATCACAATCCAAGACCAGAACACCAAGGGACATTTCATTCATACTGAAGTCATTACAATACATGTTAAAGAAAAAATTAGAAATTGATAGCCAATACTCATAACATCAAAAATAGTTGTAGATACAAGTACTCATACAAGATAGAGCATTCAGTCTCAAATGATGTGGGATAGATAAAATCCAGTCTCCAAGTCCATAGGAATTTCAAAGGGTCAACAACCATTCAAAAAAGCCGTCGCCATAATCCATAAAACACAATAATTCACAATGGTTGTGAAACGTTCCAATAGAAATAGAGCTTCTTCTGCTATGTGATGTGGGTTTTGTTTTAAAGCGAGGAATGCTTCTGTTACTTCTGGATATTTATTCCATACTGTCCAACATTATTTTTTCCATGCCCAAAGAATGACGATGTCCTATCACACCCAGTAAATGCATGGAAAACAGGGAGACATTCAGATTTGGTAGGTCCAAGAGCTCTTGCCATCTCATGAGCAGCCAAATACCTATAGTTTTTCCCAGTTCCAAATGCAACCCATATGCTAATACCTAGTTGGGCAGAGGCAGCTACAGCAAGGACAACTATATCAGTATCATTGCTTCTGATAAGTATTCTGGCAAACCCTCTTCTAGCCATAAGGGCAATGTGGACAAACATTTTGGTATCTGCTTCTTCATGAGAACATGGCTCCAAGTCATTTGTATCACTAATTGCAGGATTGCAAATCACCTTCTCACCAATATTGGTCACAATCTGTTTATATGCATCTAATGGAAGACTTGATAGTTTGTAGGCTAACTACCAAACAACTGTTGCTTGTTGGAGTCATCTCTCAAGTAAGACTGCCAGTTTCTGGGCACAGTGTTACCAAGATACGTGTAGGTCATCCTTCTGTCACCTTTCCCACGCTTCTGTCTCGTCATCGTCTTCAGGCTCCTTGCCAGGTACTCATTCCAAATTATATCGAGGCGATCAACATGTTGCAGCTAACCTTGGATGTAGGGAAGGAAAACATCAGTGGCATAATCCTCAACGGTCTTTGCTGTAGTTGGTTCTAGAAGGTGTACTGAACATACACCATCTATTATTTCAGCAACAACAGGCCTATCTTTTCCCCAAGGGACAATATCCTCCATGCAGTTAAGTAGCTCTGATTTCTCACCATTTCTGAGGACACCATACTTTGCTAGTGAAGGTGGATACTCCTGGTTCTCATGCATGAGAAAGTCATCAAGATCAATGTTTCTTGTCTGGCATGTGATGTATAATTTGGAGAATAAATCACAGTCATTTCTCATTTTCTTGATTTGAGATTTCTGATTTGTTCTTTTGGGTATTTTGCTGCTAAACATTGCGATCTTGTGGCGTTTTATGGGTGTATCCAATGGTTCAGTTCTCTCCACAAGACATTCAGTTGTATACTTAGTGAAGCTTTGGTTGCCAATGTCTTCTATACTTCTGATGGTGTCACTTACTGATACATACATCTTCACCTGACACAAGGAAGGGATTGCCTAGTTTATCAGTAGTAGTCTCAACAGCAAATACATCATCTCTAAATTTCTGTTGGATGCTTGCTGTTTGCTCGTGGTGGCTAAAGTCTTCGTTGGCTTTCATGTCTCCTATACTTGAGACTTCTTCAAACTCTTTGATGATCTGGGATATTGCAGGACCAGCTGTCATCCATCGTTTCAGTGCAGTAGGATTATCTGTTATTCCTATAGCCCCACCAGAACCCTTAATCAGAGCATTATTTGCTCATGGACCTGGTCTATAGGGATGGTTGAGAATGACATAGGTGTCTTCTGAACTGTAAAGAGACCTTCATTGAAATGCTGATACAGGTCAGGGTGAGTTGTCTCCAATTGGACCATGTCCCTTAGGTGTATTGGGAGCCATCTGGAATAGTGTGTATGATCTAATGCAAAAAAAACAGGGCATCATCTTGGTCAAAACACAGGCCCGTAGCCAGGGGGGGGGGGGGTTCGCAGGGTTCGGGCGAACCCCCCTGGCCAAAAATTCTTTCAAAGTCATGCAGTTTTTCACAATTTTGAGCACTTCTCAAGTGATTTTAGTCATATTTGGGCCAAAATTGTCAAATGTGAATCCCCCTGGAAATCTTTGAAAACTGAACCCCCCCCCTTGGCAAATCCTGGTTACGGGCCTGAAACAGATATGTAGAGTTTAAAGTCTGCCTCTCTCAGGGATCTAACAAAGATCATAAGCATCATTTAAAGGCCCTGTGTTAAAGCCCAGTATTTGAAATGGGGGAATTGGCTTCCCCTTCCCTTTTCCATTCTTCAAAGGATAGGGGGGCTACATCTCTGAGTTGGGCAGCAGCTAGGTATATGTTGAAAGCTTTCTTCATTAGGATGTGGAGTGTTGCCAACGTAATTTGATGTGCTCTTCTAGTCTTGGATATATGGCTTCCCTTTAGGAAGGACTCTGCAGTACCAACTGATGCTGTATTTGACTGAGCAATTACGGTACATTTACCCAACTGTTGTCTGTCAGCCAATCACCAACCACCTTCTGGAATGCCATTTCTATATGGAGACCTCCAAACATGATCAAGTATTGATCTTCCCCATGTGTATCAGGGTATATCTATTGAATGGTTTTCAGGGAAGCAAACAATGGTTGGTCAGCCGAAAGCACTGGTATTTGACCAGGATTTACTATATGTATGTCACGTTTGACTATGTACTTACCATGTTTTAACATGACTAGAGATTTTTTCCAAAAGAAAAAATATTTAATCCCTTCAGTGGAGAGTCTATCCAGCATTTATTCTCAATCATATGTGTGACTCTCATATTGATATGTAATAATTATGAGTAATTCAATAAAAGCTTATAAAATAGTACAAGGCTTAATACTGAGCCTTGCTGAACACCCGTTTTAATAGTTAACTATAATATAAAGGAGTTCCTATATCACAAGCAACTGTCTGGAATTCCCTTAAACAAATACAATTGGTTTAGAGCTAAAATACAACATTAATTCAAAGAGAATTCAAATTTCTTAAAAATCTATATGTATCGGCGGCCATCTTGGATTTTTTTCAGAACGAGGCTCCGGATCACTTGCTGCCTCGAGCCAATTTTTTTCAATTGCCTTCAGTTACACTTGTACCAATTTTGGTGCTTCTATCATAAAAAGAATTATCGTAAGGTGATTAGGCTTAGCTACAAGTACAATCACAATAGTGGAAGACACTCCAAGGGGCATATGATTCACGTTATATTAAACAAAAAATATTTACAAGTAGCAAAACTCATACAAGAAATCAGTGCTCATTAGAATTGTGAAATATATGAATATGTTTAATCCTTGATCCAACATTTCCATGGTTACTGTGATTTTCAATATCCAGTGCCCTTCCATGATGTTGAACATGAACTTACAGAAGAATAAGCCAGACAGTATCTTGTTAAAGTTTGGTAGTTCGTACTGGAAACAATGAAAGTGCCTACTTATAATCTACTAAGTAGTCAATATTTCCTAATGCATATTCTTGTATTATATTAATTTGTAGGATCGCATTTATAATATATTTCCATTCTGTTTCAGTGGGTGAAAATTGGAGTTAACATTTCCAACTTCCCAGTATCTCTCAGTGCTGTAGGTTTCCATGTTGGTCTAGGAGGTAAGGATATTGAATTTGTTAAAATGTGTTCAGTATTATTTAAAGAGATGTAGAATCATTTAGACCTTACCAATCACATGTATTTACACTGGCAGTAAGATCTCATACTGCTCCTTTGTCGCCTTAGTTCCTCAGAGTTTTCTTCCAAAAATCTACCACCTCAACGTACATACTTTTTGAAACATGACTGAGATTTAGCAGCTAGATGATGATTAACTGACTGTTTCAACTGATGTGTGAGGACAGCTCACTTGCCGAACTGACCTTAACTTTCTTGGAAGTACAGTGCAAGGTTGATAAAAAAATAATATATTTAACATAAGGTACTGCAACATATATGAATTGTTGATATGTTTTCTATTTCAGCTATATTTGTTCTCTACTATTTATACTGGACACAACTGAACATGTTCGTCACAGTGAAATATCTCTGCTTCATTGGTGTCCCTACATTCTTATTTGGCAACAGACTTCTCAGTAGCATAGCTAGCAAGAGGTAAGTTGTGTTTCTGGTAGAAGGAGTCTTCATGTTACCCATCTGTGTGGGATTTCTTTATCCTGACATAATGTAAAAATGCCATTGGGAGTCTATTAGGTCATTATCCCACCTAACGAAATTCAAGGGGGTACACAGAAGCAGTCCATCTGGGCAATAACTCATATACCGGTTGACAGATTTTATTCAAATTTTAGAGGCTTATCTCATATGGGTGTAAAAATGTAATCAGTTAAATTGAAACACTTTTTTGTTCGGCTGCTCGCTAGACTCGATTCTCTCTTTTAGTTGAAAATCTAAATATTTAAAAAGAAAACTGGAAGACATCTTGAAATATGGTGGCTATTTTTCGATTTTTGCTGTAACTGGAAAAGTAGTGGAGTGATTTTGTTCATATTTGATATGTGAATACTCATAAGCATGGCACACTGTCTTATCACTTATTTGGCTAGTAATGGCCTCCATTTACATGTATGTGTGTGCACGATTTTGTTGAAATACTTTATCGAGCTTACTTCGAAGCATATAACACTTTCTGATGACAATTTAACTAGTGAGCAACCATTTTGGATATTGTCTCCATTTTTATGTGTGTATTATGATTTTTGCTATACACTTCGTATTTAAAAATGGCAGTCATGGGTGTTCAATGGGATTTGCTATGCATTGTTGTTTCGTTTATTTTACTTTGTATTTGACATAAGTTAAAATAATTTCAATATCACTGTGATAATCACAAAGTGCCATTTTATACTTTCAGAAAGTAGTCCTGAATATCTTCAATTCAAGTCATGATCTACAGTCGAACATTAGATGGCTCTGTCCTCATTTCTACAATCATCATCCATATCATCATAATCATCACATGGACAGTTCCAAGAACATAGTAGAGCCATACCAGGAAATGTATCTGAGTTGACATTGTTTTCTTGCATTTCCTAAATTCTATATAGTTTTGAGGAGATTCTCAATCAATATGTGGACTGAAATTACTCTATTTATACTGGATGCAATATGGATAACACACCTGACTTGACACATTGATATGGAAGAATGGTTTTAACTGAAATATTTAATTTTTTGTGGTGTGATAGACTTTTATCTTTACCATTCCAATTCACATGAACAAACTTTGCCAAACAAGTTTTTAACAAGTTCCCTAAAACTTAATTCACTATTTGCTGTATTGTCATTGATTATTTGTTGTTCATGCATAATTATGTTTTTACAATATGTGTCTCATATTGCTGAACAGAAGTAGTTGTGTAGTATCATGTTACATAAAAATTCTATTGAAATATTTGTTGTGATTGAGATTTTTTTACTCAACATTAGAAAGTGATAATATTATATTATATATATTTGTGAAATAAATGTCACAAAACATGAAATATCTGGTTTATGTTATCAGTATCATATTCATTTATTATTTTATTTTTATTATTCACTAAATACAAAGTGGGCCAAAATAAGTGCCACTTTTTTTTAATAAAACACTTTTTTATTTCCCAGTTCTAGAGTGCCAGATTACTCAGGTGATGAGTAATAAAATAATGGAATCAGTCCTTCAACTTAGATTGTATTTGATCAAAAATGAGTTCTAGGTCTACCCCCTCTTTGATGATAGCTTTGAGTATTAGTCACCATTCAGATATAGCAGTATCAGTGAAATGTTTGCCAAGTTTCTTTCAACTTGTCTGTCCAAATTGCCAGCTTTAGTTGAGATTGGGTTCCTATATACCATCTCCTGGAGACCTCCCCAAACCCTATCTATAATTTATATACCATAAATAATGCATGGCTAGATTTTCAACTTCAAGTTTCATTTGGTATGCAAATTATGATTTTGGATCAAAAATTAAATAAAAAAGTTACAGCATAGTTTAAAAAAGTGGTGTATTTTGTATAATAGTAAATGTGTATAATATACATATATTATGAGCCTCACTACATCATGTTGTAAATAGTAAATCTAGAGAAATCCCAACTCCTCTGAATATAAAATAATGTTCACAGGATTCAGTGTTAACAAAATAATAGTTCAGTCCTCGGATTCTGAATCTGTCCTCCCAATCTCCATGGAAATTGTGTAATTACAGGATTTATTTGAGGGCATTTGCGGAATGATGGAAATCAGTTGATCAGTATTGACGACCTGGAATGAATATGAACATACACATTATACATCTCATTTAAGCCCTGGATTCGGTGCGATATGGGATGACCATTTCTTGAAGGTGTTGCCTTCCAAAATTTGCACTAGACTAGAGTGTTAATTTTAAGAAACAATGCCTGAAAGGAATTAGTACTAAAGGAATTGACAAAATTTTAATTACTTCCTCCTGTTGGAGCAGCACTGTTTTAAATGGATTGTATTGGTAGATTTAATATCATTGAACATAGTATTGCTTGTTACCATTGATCATATATTTGGGATTATGCAGGGGTCATTTTTCAAAAGATTTTTTTGTATTCGATGAATAATTTTGAATAGATAGTCAATAAGTAAATAAATTATCATAAACTCGATTCGATATACGATTTCAACTGAAAAATAAGACCAAAGGGGTACAGTGCTATTTAGTGATTTCTATGCACTTCAAGAGTGTTTGAGTCAATTAGAAAAAATGAAACGATGCATTTTCAGTTTCAGTGAGGGGGTGCAGTCGCACCTAACACCTCCTCCCCCCATTCCCCTCTTGAGGGGCCTGAACAGGTTAAAACGAATGTAGGAATATGTATTTTAACATTTAAACGTATCAAAAAGAGTGCTAAATCAATAAGAGGAAACAGCTTAACTGGGGCTTATCTGAAAATCTCCTTGAGCTCTCTCTAAATGGTCATTCCACAATGCATTGAGTCTCGGGCTTAAAGGCAGAATCAGATCTAGCAATATTACTCTGTTGCTTCACCTTGATGAAAATTATTTCAATTTTATAGAATATCTTGGGCTCATATTCCTTGTCATGGCTATTTTCTAAAAATAACCCAAATATATAATTTGAGGAAAATTTAATATTTTAACAATTATGCAATCATTTGTCTAAGCTACCTTTCTTATTATTTGGGAGAGTTTAAATATTTTTGCACTTTGAGTCTTAAAATAACTTCACCAATTGGTGATGTATCACATATCTTTTGGGGGATATTATATTTGAACTTGGGTAGGTGAAATGTACATATTACTTGCAATTTTGTCAAGCCCTTTAGATCTGATTCTGCCTTTAAATTCTTTTCTCACACTGCAAAATATTTTCTATAATGTCACTAAAAGATAAGAAATCACTAAAAGAACATATGTTCAATGAAACTTTATGCAAGGGTCAAGTTGGCAAAGCATCAATTTCAAGCTTTACAGTTGTCATCTTGACAACCACTTAAGGAATGACTTTGGATGCGGTGATTGGTTATATGAAATACTGTATTCGGATTAGCCGGAATCACCTTGTACACACCTTGCTATGTGAATACAAAATCAAGTTATCTAGTTTTACAATGACAAAAGAAAATTTAAGACTACAATGACAAAAGAAAATTTAGGACTACAAACCAGATCTAGATCCTTGGCTTGCAGATAAACCACTTTTAGTTTTTGGTTTATGTCTTTTTAGCCCTGTCACATTGCCATCTGAAAGATAAAGTAAAACAAAACAAGGTTATACGGTTTCATATACATGGGAGCATTTAAAGATCTCAGTTGAGATGATCTCCTACTGCTGAGCTGGCTAAGTACATAATAGCCTCATGCTTTAGCAATGATACTGCTGGACAAAATCAGAAGCCTGGTTTTACACATGAAACATAATAGAAAGAATATAGCGCTAATAATAAAAAAACAGGCATGTTATTATTTACTTAAAATCTTTTTTAAAAAACTTTTTATTTAACAGTCAAAAACTTTCATGTCATGTTTTTCCAATGGCTAACACTGGTTGGCGTATAAAATACCACACAAATGATTCATTTTTTGGTCTAAGTTTCCACCATATACAACATCTGTTGATTTAAGTATTCTAAAAACACCACTAACATGTACACAATTTTTTCTCCTTTTAATTTCTTTGTGCCTTGTAAATTGCCACTCAACACTGGTGTAAGTGTCTCAGAGGAATTGGTATAACAACACCTTTCTGAATCACTAAATGGTAGCTTACCTTTGTCCCAGTCTACACTACTGGTATCGGAATCATCTGCTGGTATCTGCCAGCCTTTTGTTCTTTTGGATAGTATATCTGGTGTGGCCATGTTACGGCCTTCATCCTGGAGAAAAGAAAGTAATATTCATTGTTCTAATAGACAATGCATGTAAATGCATGTTTGTATGTGGGACGTGGGTGTGCTACAATTGTTTTAATGCAAAGAAAGTAATATTCATTGTTCTAATAGACAATGCATGTAAATGCATGTTTGTATGTGGGACGTGGGTGTGCTACAATTGTTTTAATGCAAAGAAAGTAATATTCATTGTTTTAATAGACAATGCATGTAAATGCATGTTTGTATGTGGGACGTGGGTGTGCTACAATTGTTTTAATGCAAAGAAAGTAATATTCATTGTTCTAATAGACAATGCATGTAAATGCATGTTTGTATGTGGGACGTGGGTGTGCTACAATTGTTTTAATGCAAAGAAAGTAATATTCATTGTTCTAATAGACAATGCATGTAAATGCATGTTTGTATGTGGGACGTGGGTGTGCTACAATTGTTTTAATGCAAAGAAAGTAATATTCATTGTTCTAATAGACAATGCATGTAAATGCATGTTTGTATGTGGGACGTGGGTGTGCTACAATTGTTTTAATGCAAAGAAAGTAATATTCATTGTTCTAATAGACAATGCATGTAAATGCATGTTTGTATGTGGGACGTGGGTGTCCTACAATTGTTTTAATGCAAAGAAAGTAATATTCATTGTTCTAATAGACAATGCATGTAAATGCATGTTTGTATGTGGGACGTGGGTGTGCTACAATTGTTTTAATGCAAAGAAAGTAATATTCATTGTTCTAATAGACAATGCATGTAAATGCATGTTTGTATGTGGGACGTGGGTGTGCTACAATTGTTTTAATGCAAAGAAAGTAATATTCATTGTTCTAATAGACAATGCATGTAAATGCATGTTTGTATATGGGACGTGGGTGTGCTACAATTGTTTTAATGCAAAGAAAGTAATATTCATTGTTCTAATAGACAATGCATGTAAATGCATGTTTGTATGTGGAACGTGGGTGTGCTACAATTGTTTTAATGCAAAGAAAGTAATATTCATTGTTCTAATAGACAATGCATGTAAATGCATGTTTGTATGTGGGACGTGGGTGTGCTACAATTGTTTTAATGCAAAGAAAGTAATATTCATTGTTCTAATAGACAATGCATGTAAATGCATGTTTGTATGTGGGACGTGGGTGTGCTACAATTGTTTTAATGCAAAGAAAGTAATATTCATTGTTCTAATAGACAATGCATGTAAATGCATGTTTGTATGTGGGACGTGGGTGTCCTACAATTGTTTTAATGCAAAGAAAGTAATATTCATTGTTCTAATAGACAATGCATGTAAATGCATGTTTGTATGTGGGACGTGGGCAGTGTTGTCATTAACAGCCGGTCCACTGGTCATTATCTGGTTACTTTTGATACGGACCAGTTGATTTTTTCACTAGGTATAGGAAAATAACATTGCAACTGGTCCGTAATATCATTTTGACCAGCAGGTTTCAGCCCCTTAGTGTCTACACTGGACGTGGGTGTGCTACAATTGTTTTAATGCAAAGAAAGTAATATTCATTGTTCTAATAGACAATGCATGTAAATGCATGTTTGTATGTGGGACGTGGGTGTGCTACAATTGTTTGAATGCAAAGAAAGTAATATTCATTGTTCTAATAGACAATGCATGTAAATGCATGTTTGTATGTGGGACGTGGGTGTGCTACAATTGTTTTAATGCAAAGAAAGTAATATTCATTGTTCTAATAGACAATGCATGTAAATGCATGTTTGTATGTGGGACGTGGGTGTGCTACAATTGTTTTAATGCAAAGAAAGTAATATTCATTGTTCTAATAGACAATGCATGTAAATGCATGTTTGTATGTGGGACGTGGGTGTGCTACAATTGTTTTAATGCAAAGAAAGTAATATTCATTGTTCTAATAGACAATGCATGTAAATGCATGTTTGTATGTGGGACGTGGGTGTGCTACAATTGTTTTAATGCAAAGAAAGTAATATTCATTGTTCTAATAGACAATGCATGTTTGTATGTGGGACGTGGGTGTGCTACAATTGTTTTAATGCAAAGAAAGTAATATTCATTGTTCTAATAGACAATGCATGTAAATGCATGTTTGTATGTGGGACGTGGGTGTGCTACAATTGTTTTAATGCAAAGAAAGTAATATTCATTGTTCTAATAGACAATGCATGTAAATGCATGTTTGTATGTGGGACGTGGGTGTGCTACAATTGTTTTAATGCAAAGAAAGTAATATTCATTGTTCTAATAGACAATGCATGTAAATGCATGTTTGTATGTGGGACGTGGGTGTCCTACAATTGTTTTAATGCGTGCCGCTGTTTTAAAAGTAATTCCTAAAAATAACAAAAAAAATGTTAAAATGAACTTAAAAATGGCAACTCTGTGGAGTAGAATATCTCATCAAACACAACCTATTTTATTGCATCCCTTGTCATTTTGGACATCACATGATAGAAATAATAACCAGGAAGAAGTAGTAGTAGTATTGTCTCCTTTCCTTCGGATTACAATGTTTTTTTAACTTATCAGCATGAATATAGGGTTGGGACCTCAAAACCATTGGATGCCGGAGCGGCATCCTTGGGCAACTCTCTCCAGAGCATTTCTTATACCCCCCTGATAAAATATGACAATGTGACATGTGACAAAAATCAAGAAAAAATCTTAATCCGTTGCTATAGCAACAGAAATAGACACTATTTGTTACCGTAGAAATGCATTGGTTTGCTGATTTTCATAATTTTCTTCATATTCTTGATTCTTTAAGCATCTGAAGTATATACGTATCTGTTATATACAAATGTACATGATTAGAAGTAAAGATGAAATAATTCATCATATGGTTTATGTAATATATCTAACATTTCAGTTGCTATGGTAACATCACTTAATAATCAGGTTTTTACATTTCACTTTCTTTAAAAAGGTGGTCCAAAATAACACTTCTTGAAAAGGTTATGCTCCCTAGGTAAAAAAGTGATGCTTTAGAGATAAATAGTCACATGAATTTGAAAAAAAATTATAATTTAATTTTACCCCACCTCGACAGCCACCAAATCTGGCAAAATAGATTAATTTTCAAGGTTCAAATAAAAAATGCCCCCAGTGGACCCCAGAAGCTATACCATGGACCCCAGTGGCCCCAGAAGCTATACAGGGGCCCCCAGTGGCCCCAAGATGCTATAAGGTAGCCCCCAGAAGCTATACAGGGACCCCTAGTAGCCCCCAGAAGCTATATGGTAGCCCCCAGAAGCTATACAGGGGCTCCAAATGGCCCCTAGATGCTATATGGTGACTTCCAGAAGCTATAAAGGGGCCCCCAGTAGCCCCCAGAATCTATACAGTGGCCCCTGGTGCCCCCATAAAGATATATGGTGGCCCTGGAAAGCTATATGGTGGCCCCCAGAAGCATATCCAGTGGCCCCTAGTAGCCCCCAGAAGCTATATGGTGGTCCCCAGTAGCTCCAAGAAGCTTTACAGTGGCCCCCAAAAGCTATATGGTAGGCCCATAAGCTATATGATGGCACCCAGAAGCTATACGCTGGCCCCAAGTAGCCGCCAGAAGCTATAGGATGGTATGCAGTGTCCCCAAGAAGCTAAACAGGAGCCCCCAGAAGCTATACAGGCACCCCTAGTAGCCCCCAGAAGCTATATGGTAGCCCCCGGAAGCTAAACAGGGGCTCCAAATGGCCCCTAGAAGCTATATGGTGACTTCCAGAAGCTATACAGGGGCCCAAAGTAGCCCCCAGAATCTATACAGTGGCCCCTAGTGCCCCCAGAAGCTATACGGTGGCTCCCAAAAACTATATGGTGGCCCCCCAGTGTCCCCAAAAAGCTAAACAGGAGCCCCCAGAAGCTATACTGAGGCCCCTAGTGGCCCAAAAAAGCTATATGGTGGCCTTAGAAGCTATACAGAGGCCCCCAGTGGCCTCCAGAAACCATACGAGGGCCCCCAGTGGCCCCAAGAAGAAAGCCCAAATTCACTGACAAAAAATTCATGATGTTGTCAATCTGAAATGTTTCATAACCCTTAAATTTCACTGTTAGAGAAAATATTATAGCATTTTTCATGTTGATTCACCGTACTGTGCTGCCATCTTTCTATGGGTTTCTTATAGGTTTTGTAGGGTAAGGGATTGCCTTTCATTTTTTATAACTTGGGGGTATTTAAGAGAAATTTTGGGTTTCATTCAGTAGAGAGTTAGATCGGGGGGAACATCACACATCATTTCTTTTCATCTTATTAATCTCATTTTCATTCTTTCTTTATCTTTGAACAGTTTTATTTTATACTGAAGAGTGTAATTGTACATGTTTAGTCTTTTACTTGGAATAAAGTACAGTTTTATGAGTATATTAATTCTGTGTTAATCTTGTCTTTTTTACATTACAAGACCAATCCATATTATTTTATGAAGAACCCACAGAGCTATTTTAACAACAAAGCTCGAAGCTTCATTGGTGGCAGCGGTGGGATTGGTCTTTGTCTTGTAAAGAGATTCTTTTCGCAGTTTTAGTGTTTTTATTTTCATTAAAGAGTGGAGATTAGTTCTCTTCACATCTTTAAGTTTGATCAACTTTCACTGAAGAGTGGAGATTAGTTCTCTTCGCATCTTCAATCTAGCTTTACTCTTACAAAAGAGCGGAGATTAGTTCTCTTCGTTTCTCTCTTTTAAGTTAGGTTCATTCTATACCGAAGAGTGAAGATTAGTTCTCTTCAACTCTTTCTTTAGGATTTTGTCTTCATATTCAGTTCATATTCAGTTCATATTCTCTTTGAATGAAGAGTATTTGTCTTCACTGTACTATTAAGTATTAACTTTGTCTTTATGCACAATGTTTGTTTATGCCCTGGGGTTTATGCATGCATTTAAGTTGACAGTCTTCACTTAAAAGACTGATAATGATCTTGCGTTTGTGTACGCTCAGTTAATTTATGCGTAACTTTACCTTGATCTTGTGAACAAAGAGAAGACAAAGAGTCGAGCAT